CCACGGGAGGCCGTTGGCGTCCGTTGAACCCCCGCGACATGACTGCGCCCCGTGTGTGTGTGTGTGTATGTATGTATGTATGTATGTATATAGGAGCGAGGGGCTGGCAGGAGGTCGTTCTCGCAGGCCCTTGGGGCTGCCGTTTCGGGTGTCGCCCCCCGTGCCCCCCCCGCCACCGGGTGGCTGGGGGCTCGCCTGCTTCAAGCGCTGGCGTATGTTCTACAGGGGCAGCGTTTCATTCCGTTAGATACCCCTGTGTTCATTTACTGTTCTGTCTAGTTTAAAACTGACCTTTGCTCAGAGCTGTGGAAGTGACTACTAAACCGTTGGGAAGTGATGGCTAACTTGAGATGCTATGTTCTGAATGATGTGATGTTATGGGAAAATCTTATGCGAGCAAACACCTGATATTCAACTTCTCTGAACCTGTATTTTATGTTTCATAAGATATTTTTGACCTGATGCTTACACAGAAGTGATGTGCACGGTAAAAGAAGTCCAGTATTGGGAGCAGAGCTGCCTAGTAGTGATGGTCTAGATCTGAAAGAAGGGTGTTGTGCTGGGCCCTTATCAAAGGCTGGTCTAGTGGAAAAGTTATAGCTCTTGCTTTTTGTTAGGGAAGAGGTAAAGAGAAGTGATAGAGAGGGCTGAGCTCTCCATCTCTTATTTACTTGCTGCACAGTTGCAGGTGCAACTTGCACCTCCTTCAGACACGAGCACCTGAATATGAAATTGGACTGTAGTAGCAATATAGTCTGTACTATCCATTAAACTGTTGAAGTGTTATGAAAGAAATCACTCCAACTTAAGGAGACTGTAATACTTTAGAAGTTGCTACTGCAGAGATATATGGCTTTTAAAGTCATGATTCATCACAAAATATGTTCTGATTTTTCTAAGCAGCTCTGTAAAGTTGGGTTTAAATTTAAAACAAAATAATCCATCTTCATCTTATTACATGTGTATCATATCCTATTCATATTGTGCTCTCTGTTGTGGTAGACTGATGCAGGCACTGGCCCAAGATTTTTTGAGAGCAAATAGAGAAGAAACCTTCCACAATATTCCCTCAGATCTCTCTCCAGCCTTGTATTCTGCACACCCTTGCATGAGTGTGCGTGCATACATAGTCTAGAGCTGACTCCAGAGAAATTTGGGAATTGACTGGTACGCTATTCCTTTGTTTGTTCTTCAGAAGGGGTGCAGAATAGATGGACCTAAACTTTAACAGCTTTTCTTTTAAACGTTTTTTGGCTGGAAAATCCCAATACATGTTCAGATGGAAGAGAAATTTTCTAAGAAAAATTAGAATTTGGCATGTTTCAGTCATCTTATGTCTTAGACAAATGTCTTTTGTGGGCAGATCCAAAGATGGGAATTACTGTGCACTAGGAGCTTTGTGTAAACCGTGTGGAGTTAGTGGTTCCATAATTTTACATGTGCCTGTGTCTCTTCTTAAATCAAGAATTCTTGACTTTACTAGAAATATTTTTGCATATGACCACATTGCAGAGAAAGAATTCTTTGAATTTTGTAAGAAACTGTGAGCATATGTTTTCAAACCTAGTAGGTGCACCTTCTGAGCCAAATGTTATCTTTCATATTTCTTAAACTCAGAAATGGCTGGAGGAATTTAAGTTCTGCTTTCTGCAACTGAAGAACAAACATCACTCTAAAAACACAAAGTGTTTGTGTCTTTGGAATCTAAAATGGAGAGTTTTTGGAAAGTTTGAAATCGAATGAATAGTTCTAACTGCTTTTTGTGAATCCAGATTTTTTTTAATCTGAAAGTTTACTAAATTCAGGCCTCTTCGTTCCATTCCCCTCCCTTGCACACAATTTTATTTATTAGTTTTATTGTTCAATTTTTGTTGCTGTAACTGGAATAGATTTCGTCGTTCTGACAATAATCTGTAATCTGTCCTCCGCTGCACCATGCAGTGTTATCTCAACTAAGAGTGCAAACGCTGCTGACTTCATTCAACAAGACTAATTTTTGTTTGGCCATCTGTTACCATTCTTTGCACTCTACTTACCTCCCCAGGAGACCTGTGATTAGAAGCAAAGTCTTTTCTTTTTTTTTTTTTTTTTCCTTCTTTCAACAACCAAGAAAAGAGAACCTCAGCCTTAATGGCTTTATACCACAAATCTCGTTCTTTTTTGAAACTGTCCAGACTGACCAAGTCACTTACAAGATCTATTGCACTATTTCCCTGAATCAAACTAATTTATGTTTTCATTTACATGTATGTACGAAAGGGGGAAGCAGCCAAAATAAATAGCTGTGAAGTTTATTTTATAACAACAGATATTTTCTGTATGTTTCAGTGTCAGTGATGGAAAAACCCACCCATGGTACCGTGCACCTGAGTGACTGGCAGAAAAGTTACTTTGCTATTACCTCTGGCACCTGCACACCCGGACAGAAGGCAGATGGATATCGTGCCAAAATTCTACAGATTCAGTATGCATGGGCAAACTCTGAGATCTCTCAGGTCTGTGCTGCCAACCTGTTTAAGAAATATGCAGAGAAATACTCTGCAATTATTGACTCTGACAACATAGAGACTGGCTTGAATAACTATGCTGAAAACATTTTGACTTTGGCAAAGTGTCAGCAAAATGACAGTGACAAGTGGCAATCTGCCTTGACAACAGATAATGTATTTGAATTAAAATGTGTGCAAGAGAGGATGCAGGCTGGCAAAAATTTCCAAAGCTCTCAGATGGCACCAGCAGATGCCTTTGTACCAGCTGATAAAGGGGTCAGTGCCTCTGCCGCTCCAGGTCTCCCAAAACTCCCTGTCTTCAGCAATGCTGGAGAGACTGACCTCTGGGCTGGCTCATCAAAACGTGCAAGCCAGGGAGCAGATCTCCTTGAGCATCCCTCATCTTCAAAGTCTCTTCAAAGCACTCTGCCTCCTGCGACCAAAACTTCAGATACATTTCCTGCCTCTTCTGCTTCCTTCAATGAACTGATTCAAACAGGTGTCCAGGCAACTCCATTATTTGGAAGTAAAGAAGCAGCAAGTAGCAGTTCTCTGAAAGCATCAGGTCACTCTGGTGATGGGCAAAATTTGTCTCTTTCCAATCAGTCCGCTGTGCATGGCTGGTCTGCAAATTCTGGAAAAAGAAAAGCGTTTTATAGTGTGGCAGATGAAAGCAACCCTGTGACTCCCAACCTTACTTCATGCCAGGCTTCCGTTAGTACAGAATCCAGTAGTTCCCCAGGGAACAGAAACAGAAATGAAGAGGGCAGTGTTACTGGTTTTAGAACTGCGAAAGAACAGCTGTGGGTGGATCAGCAAAAGAAACCTCAAAACCTACCCCAGCGCACACCAATCTCGTCATATGGAGGTGTAAAAAAATCACTGGGTGCAGGCAGATCTCGGGGTCCATTTGGCAAGTTTGTTCCTCCAGTTCCAAAACAGGATGGAAATGAAAATGGAGGAGCACAGTGTAAACCTCCTACAAGAGGACCAGCAGAACCATCGCTTCCTGTAGACGAACGACTGAAAAACATAGAACCAAAAATGGTTGAACTCATTATGCATGAGATCATGGACCACGGGCCTCCTGTGAACTGGGATGACATTGCCGGAGTTGAATTTGCTAAAGCTACGATAAAAGAAATAGTAGTCTGGCCTATGCTGAGGCCAGACATCTTTACTGGGTTACGTGGTCCTCCCAAAGGAATTCTTCTCTTTGGCCCCCCTGGGACTGGCAAGACTCTAATCGGCAAGTGCATTGCTTGCCAGTCGGGAGCTACGTTTTTTAGCATCAGCGCTTCTTCTCTGACCTCCAAATGGGTAGGTGAGGGGGAGAAGATGGTCCGTGCATTGTTTGCTGTGGCGCGATGCCAACAGCCAGCAGTTATTTTCATTGATGAAATTGATTCTCTGTTGTCTCAGCGTGGAGATGGGGAGCACGAGTCTTCGAGAAGAATAAAAACTGAATTTCTGGTCCAGTTAGATGGGGCAACAACCTCCTCAGAAGATCGTATTCTAGTGGTTGGAGCAACAAATCGGCCCCAAGAAATTGATGAAGCTGCCCGAAGGAGACTGGTAAAGAGGCTGTACATTCCTCTTCCAGAAGCTTCAGCTAGGAAGCAGATTGTTGCTCGGCTAATGTCAAAGGAGCACTGCTGCCTAAATGAGGAGGAAATTGAACTCATAGTTAGGAAGTCTAACGGATTTTCTGGGGCAGACATGACGCAGCTCTGTCGAGAAGCTTCTCTGGGCCCCATCCGCAGCCTGCAGTCCATGGATATTACAACCATCATGCCAGATGAAGTACGGCCTATTGCTTTTCTTGACTTTGAGAGTGCCTTCAAAACTGTGCGGCCCAGCGTTTCCTCAAAGGATCTAGAGTTGTATGAAACCTGGAACCAGACATTTGGCTGTGGTAGATAATTGCAATTGATAAGTGCAGTTGTAAGGGTTTAGCAGAAACTTTTCTTTCAGACTGTTACATATTAAAACCATTATAATTTAGGGAGTCTGCACTTATTTTTGTTTCTATCTACCTTTGTAATAAATCTTGCTGTGTTATGCAGGCAGATGACTGGGCCCTGGCCTGAAGTTTAGCTGACTGAACAGCCCATGAAAAATTGCTGAACATAACAAATAACAGTGTGAGAAGCTGACAGAAATTGCAGATAGCCCCTGGGAGGAATGGCTGGATTTTGCCAGTGCATGCATGTATGTGTGTGTGTGTGCTCGTGAGTTGGCAGAAGATGTGGACACCTGCAGTTGGAGAAGGGGCCATGGGTCATAGGGGCTGGCGTGGGGGCAGCAGCTGGAAGGATGAGGAAGCGGAGGTCAGCTATGGTCTAGCGGATGTGTCTGGGGCCAGGTGCCTTAGGGACCCCTATATGCATGTGTAATTCACTAGCACACTTCAAGCTAGACTAGTTGGTGAGCTGGAGGAAACCAGTGTCTGGAAGGAGCCACAGCATGAGCCAGTGCTGCGTAAGGAGGCCCCGGGGCTTGACCTGGATGTGAGATGAACTTAAAGCCCATGCTAACATCTGAGGGATCCATGAATGTGGTGTGTTTGTGAAGCCTGAGAGTGCGAGGGGTGCGTTTTGCTGGGGAGCTTCAGTCCTGTTCAGCTGGAGAGGAGGGACAGGATGGGGCCGGCTGCAATGTTCCTTTTTTGTGTGTATTTGTGCTTATGTGGGTGCTGGTGAAGGCACTACTCTGTCCATGTTTGTGTTAGTCTGTCCATCCATCTGCGAAGGGATCAACCTCAGTCTGAGAGTGCACTTGATATGGCTCTAGTGGACCAGGAAGGAGAAATCCTGTGTCCCGAAGTCCACTGCATTCCACTGCTCTTTTAAAAGATCTGTTTTAATAAAAATGGTAAAATTCGTAACTAAGTTGTACTTTGTGTTCTTACCCAAGATTTTAAAGAAGTGCACTGCTATTTGTTCACATTAGCTCTCCATCCCTTGTGGCTGGATAGAGCTGCTTAAATTGAAACAAATAAAAAGTTTTCCGTGGAGAACTTGTTGGCGGAGCAGAGCTAGCTACAGTGGTATTCATATTTTATTTTCAGTTTCTCTACAGCACCTTTTACTAGGGGAAAAGCAGAGCTTGAAAGCTAGTCTTTAGATTTTTCTAAAAATGGGTAAATTACGCTATTTAGCTAACTTTTTTTTTAAAGTCAATTAAGATGTTAACTACAGAGACTGAAACTGTAATGAACATTGACTTCAGAATAATTTGAAAAACTTCAGCATTTCTCAGAGCTCATACCAGTTTAAACATAGTCAGTTCTACTTTTACTTTACGTGGTTGAAGAAGTATTTTATATACTAGATTGTTTTGCAGAGATGTAAAAATTCTGGTATTTGAATTTGTCTAAATTTTTGAAAGCTTTGAAATAGTGAAAATAATGAAATTAAATTACTTAGAATAATCTGTGTGCAGCGTGGTCCAAACTGATCAACTGTTGTGCCAACTGGGTAAAGATATTGTGATTAAATTTGTGTAAATAATGTTGACTGAAGTTGTCAAAGGAGACTCAGCTCTTACAAATTTAGTATTGGAGGGCTACTAAACATGCCTTAGGTAAGATTTCTGCTCTCTCCAAAGATCTTAAACCCTAATGTAAACGTGTTCTCTGAAATCTATTGTTTTAGGTAAGGAAATAAACAACTCAGTGAATTTTAATTGGTTAGTAAGACCCAAGGGTTTCTCAAGGGTAGTAAAACCATATATCATTAAATGATTGCCTTATTTATGCTGGGGTTTATCCTCGTGTGCTATGTGAGCCTGCTGCGTTCATGTATGTATCTGCATACTCATATTTTTAATGGAAACAGGACTCTACTGAAATGACCAGCAGGAACGCACAAGACAGTAGAGAGTAAGTGCCTCCTAAGATGACAAGGACTGGGAGAGAAGTGCCATGCCGCTGCATGTATTTTCTGCAAAGTGGAGCTTGTGAAAGAGATAAAGGTAGAACAGTGGCAGCAGATTTATTCTTCTTCCTTCTTTTTATGTTACTTGTTACTTAGCATTGTCATGAATTGCACCAGCATGTTTTGGTTTCAGAAAATGTGTAGATACGATGAAAGGGATTCCAGGTAAGTTTTACTGTTTCTCTTCTTTTGTAACGCTGCAGCTAATATGACTGTCTCCCCAGCCATGTTACACTGTTCTAGCTTTGCTGCTGCACTCACCAGTCAGCAGGACTTAAAATACTAGCCTAGAGTGTATTTCATTATCCACTGTATCAGTGCCACCTAAAATGAGATATTAGAGCACCAGGAACATAATTGCACAAAATACAGAAAATTGCACAAAAGTAGGGCATGATTGTAATTTAAGGGAAATGGTGCAGATAAATCTGCTTTAATAGATTGGATCTGTTCAGTTTATGCAGAAACTTATGTGCTTCATTGTTTGTTCCTTTTGGCTGGCTGAACTGAGTAAGAAGGAATGGAGGACTCCCCTCTGGTTTTGTGGTTCAGTAACACCAGGTGCACAATCTCCTAGTTTCTCTTAAATAAAGGTAAATAATTTCTGCAGTCCTGGAAAGGTAAGCTCTTATTAATAATTAAGACAATTCAGACTCTTTTCATTTTCTCAGTGTACCTTGTATATTTGAGTTAGCTAAATTGTCTCAGGGCGTTATGAAATCCCTAGCTGAATTTTCATTTATAGGAAACTGCACCAGCAAGAGTAGGGAAAAAGCTGATGAGGCAGCAATGATCATCATTTGCTAATGGCCAAGTGAGCGTAAAAAGGCTGGCCTGAGAGCATGCAGTAACATTGTACTATTGAAATAAGGTAATTTCTATTTTTCTAATTGAAATTTTGAAACTACTACCACTACCAAACTGACATGTCCTTAGAGAAGAACAAACAAACAAGCAAAACCCCACTTTTCGTATTAAAAATTGTAATTTTGATGACAATGGAAGACTGGTCTTGGTAAGTACATTTATTTACTAAGAAGAAGCTTTAAACTGTAGATATACAAACAATGCTTGCACTTTTCTTGAAACTCATAGGTGCACCTGGCTTTGGATTTTAAATGAAAGTTCAGGTTTGGGACACTTTTGAAAGAAAGCTTATCAATTGTCTTCTTAACTAAAGAGAGGCCTTCAGCACAATGCATGTTCACCTAACTGCAGTGATTAGTGAAGACGCTGACATAAAATTCCCAGAGACTGGATTTCTTAACCGTTCTTTCTTATTCTTGGTACTTTGTGTTCTTTATTCAGATCTGCAGAAAAGCAGATAGGTACAGTGCTATAATAATAAGCACCTGCTGAAGCAATCAATCTGTGCTACTTTTTTGGTCCCATTAGGTCAAAAACTTCATATAATCTTAGCTCCTACGTGTACTGTGAAGCCAAAACTACATTATCACAAAGTTATGAGGCTGGAAAGAACTCTTAAGAAATCATCAAATTCTCACTGCGTTTAGGGTGAATTAATTTTTGTAAATCCTGCATGTTTTGCCTAGTCTGTTCCTTAAAACCTTCAGTAATGATAAAGTCTTTACCTCCTTTTGAGGCTGAACCATCTTTGCTGTTGAATGTTCATATCCAAAATAATGATGATGATATAATGGTTAGCACTTCCTATATCTTTTCCTGTACAAGCAAAAGGGAACAACGGACCTTTCCCCATCTCGGCATGACTGGAGACATTAACTGTCAGGGAGGAGGATGCCAGAAAAGGGGAGCCTTCAACTGTGCAGTCTCAAACAGGGCCAACCAAGGCTGCAGCTGTTCTGCACTTGGTTGTGAATCACAGCTGAGCAGTTCATCCCACCTTGGACTAAGGGTGGCTCGTGCGGTCTCTCAGAGTCATTAACAACACCCCAACAACTCCTGCTCAAAGACAAGTGTGTGTCTTTATTTGAGCTGTCTCAGTTTGTAGACTTAGCGGTTGGTGTGACATCTTCCCTTCTGTAGTATTTCCGAACATAGCACACAGTCCTTTGGCTACCAGTGTGTGCAGGCACAATCAAACGTAACTGCATTTCTCTCGTCACCTGAGGAGAGAGAATTTGAAAGTCGATGCTTTTCATCAGAGCTACGTGAGGAAAAAGCTTTCAGAAGCTAAAGTTTTCCTCAAATTGTGCCAGCAGAAAATTCTAGTTTCATATTAGTGTGCCTGCTTTTGGAACTGGAAGACTGCAGTCTGAAATTCTCACTGGACTTTGTGAAGTGGAATAACCTGGGGGCATTGAGCAAAATGATAAGTCTACTAAAGAAAATAATTGCTATGAAAGACTATTTGAAATGATTGTATATTTGCAGTCAGGAGGGAAAAAAAAGAATAATACTGATATTTTTTAAGGCAATCACAACTGACTTCTTGGAAACATTCCTACCAAGTTCTTAGAGAGCTGTGAGTTCTTTTCTATAGGTTAAAATGTAAAAAAGAGATGAAGTTGTCTTACTTTAGGCTTCTGCTTTTAGATTTAGAGTAGCATCTATTATTCTTTACTCTATTTACTGATAGTATTGGAACTTTCTTCTGATAACTATTTATCTACAGCCAGAGGAAAGGAGTTCTCTGTCAGTCAGGATGGTCTTTGTACCTGAACCTTTTACACAGAATCATCTCTATCAATAGGACTCACCAGTTAGAAATATTACTCAAAGGTGATCAAGACAAGTCTCTTCTCTCGTTTTCCAAATAAATGGCTTTATTTGGCACCAGTTTGAAGTAGTGACTGCTTGTGCTTGCAGATGAATGAAATGAATGACGTTTCTTACAAGAGCTTTTATGAAATAGGTTGTGCTCATATTTGATGTTCTGAAAAAAGAAAACTTTAGCCTTCATTTAACCTATGCACTTTTTTTTTCTTTCAAATATAAAAAGGGAGAGAAGAAATAAGAAGATATGTAAAATATTGACATAGGGAGTTTGAGTGCTCCTGACATGTGGCATCTTGGGCATACTAATTATTCACAAGTTACAGCTCTTCGTGCCAGAAGTTAACTGCCCATATTGCTTCATTGCGCAGCAACAGCAGTTTGCAGCCCACTGTCCTAGTGCAGTAACAACTAGTTGCAGTCCACCTCAGTGCAATCGGTTATGAACTGTGGTGGCTGTAGCTTTGATTCATGATCCAGTTTGGATTTAGCTGTTGTGCTTGAAGCGGTGAGTGCCCTCAGTGATCACTGTAAGCCAACAAAGATGGGTGGCATGGCTACTGGCATGGCTTGCCTTGTGCCCTCCACAGAAAGGATATAAATCTGCCAGTGTTAAGAATGTAGCCATGTAAGCTGAATTATAGAGAATCCTGATTTTTCTTAAATTCTGGAGAATTGCTTTCCAGGGAGGGTGTGAATGAACTTCAGTAGGCTCTACACATATGAGAAGGGTTTAACCTGGAGAATCCTGGTTTCTGCAAGCTATTCTGGTGCCAGCTACTCTGTAACTTGGCATCAAACTAGAAAAAAATGAGAAAATTCAAAAAGAAACAACAGAAAAATTGAAATATGCTGCAGGGATTTGATTATATGTAAAGATACCAAATAAACATGTAGGCTTTGAAGTTATTTGGGCAATGTGATATCTTTCGTTATCTGTTAATAGCTTAACATTGTGTGAAAGTGTACGTCTAGCAGTAATGGCATGTAACTGGAAAAAAAGAAGAGTTATACTTTCAAGAAGGTGGCAGAAACTCTAGGCTAGTGTATCTACAACTGGGGTGAAAGAAGAGGTTGAAAACTTGCTTGTAGTGAAAAGGGAGGAGGTAATAGCTAATTTTTTCCCCGTTTCTGTGATTAGT